TACTTGTAGTGAGAAGTGCCGGCCCTGCTCCCATGTAAAGTCATCACAAAGGGTGAACGAGACGGCAGAATTGCCATTGCCACTGCTTGTGCCTTCCACAAATGGCAACAGAAAATTTATCAGGAAGTACGAAAAGGAGAAGAACACGCTCGGCAGCCTCATCGTGCTTTCTCCCCTTCTTTCTCAGGGAAGTGTCTGGTTCCCTCCGCTGGACAAAGCTTCTCCTCTCTCCGTCACAATGTCGTAAGGTTTTTGGAATGAATCAGTGATCTAATTTTTTGCCGACAAGGGGGCGACAGAAGCGACGGGGCGTGGATTTTCATGATTAATTTATATTGTGGTACTGTTAATTGAGAGGGACCCTTGTTTATTTCAATATGGAGTCTTCTTTTCTCATCAATGCAATGGCACTCAAAGAAAACGGCTTAGAAAAGTCTTCAAAAAAGTTGGAATTCAAAAATGTGCTTTTATCAAGCAAGCCATTAACTCGCTTCGCAATACAGGTAGGCATAAGCACGTGTGATAATTATTTCATACTCCTTCAGACCATGTCACCCCATAAATGGAAAAATGGACTCTGAAATCAGGGAAATTTTTGCCTGTGGACTCCGGAATTCGGGATAATTTTGCATGTGGAATCAAGAATCGTGAGCTTTGGAATCAGGAATACACTTCAAAGAATCCGGATTCCCTTTAATGATTGGAATTCAGAATCCAAGTTCCACTGACAAAGACTGGAATCCAGTACCTGGAATCCGGAATCCAGAATCCAAGACTGTCTTGGATTCTCTTACATGAGGTCATTACCCGGCCTGGTTATCATCTCAAGGTTTTATTAAAATTTACGTGTACCATCGTCTCACCGAAAACTAGACAGAACCTGGCAAAACATCTTGCAACATTTCGGTTTGAATTATTATCCCAGTAAAGAGCAAAAATCGGCGAGCATAACAAGAGAGTCTTAATGGGGTGGTAGCGACAGTTGAAGGTTAATTTTTTTCCAGTTTTAACGGTTGCCGGTTAAGTTTTAGACCATTGACGGGCTGACGGTAAACCCCATCGAGACCCTCTAACAACTGAATGACCTTCACGCCAAATGCGCAGCAGGTAAGCGACTGGTGTGCGCACTGGTATTGCTAAGCATCATGGGCTTTATTCAAAATCTGATTATTTGCGTCAAGATGGCGAGGAGTGAGCATCTCGCTGGAAGCGACAGCGGAGACGAATATTTGTTAAATACGCTGTACAAATCAGCGATTTGCATTTTATTTTCTTCCAGAGACTTCTAATTCTCGGGAGAAACAGTCCTGTACTTTGTTCGTAACCACTTTCAGTCAGTGCAGGATTGCTGCTTTGTTCTATACTGATACATGTATGCTTTAGTCATAAAAGCACTGAAGGTAAGACCCGTGGTTCGCCGAAAAGTTTGATTGCACTATCAAATCAGTGCAACTTGAACCTGACGAGTTACTACGACGATTTTTTTTATCACATGATTAGTTATTCAGTGGCAGTGTGGCTCAGTAGTCTGGGAGCCGCCTATACCTTTGGCGTCAGTTCTCTCTTGCCCCGTTGTCTGAGCAAAGTCTGGGAAAGAGATGGCGAGACTCTCTCGGTGACGTCACAGCTCATGTACCGTAGAGTCCAGGATTGACCGAGCAAAGAACGCAATGGAACTGGGCTGGTCTCATCCCGGGACGGTCAGTTTGGTCAAGAAAATGTTCAAGAACGGTCAGGAGCGGGGCGAGTCCCTGGGATGCTACTCGTATTGAACTAGTTCCACGACTTCTCCGAATGCTTGTCTGTGTTTTGGGCACAAAAAATATTTTTGTGTCCAATCAGAGACCAGCGCGCATCTATCGCACTGCGTTCGTGATCTTCTTACACAAAGGAGTTGACCTGCAAACTCGACTGCTCCTCCTACGCCCCGTATTAGACCTCTAGCTGGTGCAGGAAATCTTTCTTCGAGAATAGTTTTCAGTGAAAATAAGCCCCCAAAATTTACTCTTCAAGTTTCTTTCGATTCTCTTGTGTCATCGAGGGGAAAAGCTTAACAACAATTTTACAAACTTTAAAGGGCGAAAAATTTATCCTAAACTGGTGCCTGACAAGTATGCCGAGGAGGCGTAAACAACCACACGAGCGATTTCACTCGAACAAGCCTAGATGTACTCTGGTGTTTACGAATTTGTATTCTCAAATAATAGACACCCTGGATAGCTTCATTGTACATCTTTTTCACCAAAAAAATTAGCCCTGTTATCTTGACTGAAGGAGGTTAAGCTATCTCCCAGCCGCAAAGTAATGAAAAATGAAAAATGAAAATGCATTTATATAGCGCCATACTCCACTAATTGTCCGTGGCGCTTTACAATACCATAACTCCTTGTTAATTTCAAAACTGAACTACATTATTCAGTACAATTCAGGCTAATAATAAATATTATAAATCAAAAGAATTCGTAAACAGATGTGTCTTAAGCTTAGTTTTTAATACAGTAACTGACGATGATAGCCTGATGTCCAATGGTAACTGCTTATTCCACAATTTTGGACCAGCAACGGAGTAAGAGGGTCTCAATGGGACGGTGGCTTTTACGGTTATCGGCTAAAATTTTGGCTCTTTAACGTCTGTCGGTTAATTTTTTTGTTTCAAAAAGTTAAATATTAATTAACCTGTCTTTATTTCAATAAAGGTCTTCGGATCATCTCGGGATGAAATAAGCTATTCTGTTGAAAGATTTTAACATTAATAGATCATACTTTTTATAAAGTATTCCATAATATTATTTTACCCATAATATTATTTTACCCATAGAAATGTCAATAGTCAATTTAAAAGTAATCTTTGCAATTGTGAAAAAGCAAAAGCAGACACGCGGACGCCAAACCAAGTTCTGGGCGCGATATTCATTATAACAGAAATGGCCGTTTTCACACCAGATAAGGATTATTCGTGTGAGACGGGTTATCCGTTTGATGGTTCGCGTCAGTTAGGTAATACGTCTTAATTTGAAAATGGAATAGTTTTAATTTTAAATTAGCAATCCGCCTGACTTTTGAAGACGGGATTATCCGCTCCAGATAGCCTGTGTACAGCCGCCCCCTCCCCTCAGAAAAAATCGGAGAAGGGCAGTCGGTGGGGAGGACGCGACTGTACACAGGCTAGTCTCAGACGGATGATCCCATATACAGTGTTTTTAACGATAGCGAAGGACTTACAGAACGACTGTCTGCCGTTGCCTTCTCCGTAAACCGCACTATTCCGCGCGGCTAATGCGTTTCGGGTCACGCGGTCCGAGCGAGTTCGCCACCGAAATGACTTGACCGAGATTGCGTAGGAAAACGCCGTACAGGGACTAGGCATGGCAATGTCTACCGTAGCGTCAGAGAACAACAGGGAAATGTTGTTTATCGGCAACGTGTTTTACAAACAGTGACATTTCTGCGTGTTGTTTCACTAGTATTTCGAGGGCACGACCTCCGGAAAATTGCAAAATTAATATTAATCCCCAGCAAGAAGTCACACTTTCGCTATGGAAAAAATTAGTTCTCCGAGAGAACGCCGGAAATGGAGCCTAGGTCTTGGTTATCTCCTAAAAGACGCTTCGCCTAACGTGCGTACGGAGTCACAGTAGCCGGGAAATAAAAAACGCAACCATAAGGGAGTTTAGTATCTTCCTTAAAAGTAGCAAATCTAGGGAACACTTTCTTTTACGGTTAACTCTTTTTTACCCTATTTACGGCTAGCGGTTAAAATTTTTCAATTTTACGGCTATTAGCTAAATTTTTGGCCGTTTTACGCCTTTCGGTTAACCCCATTGAGACCCTCGAGTATGCCCCATCTTCATAGGGTTTTAATTTAGCCACGGGCTCATAAAGCAAATGCTTGTTTGAAAATCGTAATACGCGGCCCGAGTTCTTATACTTCAGCAGATCTTTTATATAGCTAGGTGCTTGACCGTTTAGAACCTTATAAGTCAGTAACAATATTTTAAAAATAATTCTATAGCGTACAGGGAGCCAGTCTAAACGCCTTAGGGACGGACCATTAGAAAAGTTATGGGGGGGGGAGGGGAATTTTTGAGCCGCAGGAATTTTTTTTCGTTATCAAATTCCTTGTATGAATTTTTTTTAGGCCGTAGCATGAAGATTTTTTAGGGTTAATTGGCGTGCATGAATTTTTTTTCATTTAATTTTGCCTTGCACGAATTTTTTTTTTTTACTTCCCCCCCCCATAAGTTTTCTAATGGTCCGTCCCTTAGAATCGTTGTAATATGATCACGCTTTCTCGACGCGCGGTAACAAGGCGAGCTGATGAATTCTGCACAAGTTGAAGTCTATCAATTAGTACTTTGGAAGACCATATAGTACAGGGCATTAGAGTAATGTAAACGCCAGCTTCTGTAAGCATGAACAATAATCTTGGCAGTTTATAACTTGTAACCGCTAACACGACATTCTTGCTAAAACTCGTAGCAGAATGACGGATGAGTATCACATTTTCGCGCCAAAATGACGCTGGTTTACGCGAGCTTACTAGTTAGCATTGAGGAAGTCTTGTAGTTGTAGTCGTACTCGTCTTAGAAGCTAAAGTTCTCTATCATAAGGGTTTGTATATATGGGGATTTAAGTGATCGTTAATTAGGGGTCAAAATAAAAATATAGATAACCATACAACGGCAGAACTAAAACTCGCTGGAATCGCGCTGAAACGACCAAAAATGTCAAGAAAACGCTGCCCATTAATTTACAAGGTAAGAAATTCGATTAGATGCATCTTTATTAATATTTTTGACCCCTAAGCAACTATCGCTTAAATCCTCATACGAACCCTTATTATTTCTGTTACGCAACGATTCTCACTCGTGAGCTTGAGGTACCTGTGACTGCACTGGGGCAAAACAAACAAAGGAAACTATTATTTTAAATGATGGAAGCCTGTTTGTCTTGTCTCAGTGCATCCCTTACTTTCTAGCTCTGGCGGTTCAGTACCACGTTGTTTCCTCATGTACTTTCTGCTTCCAGCATGAAGAAATATCCTGACAAGACAACTTTTGACGAGCGAAGTTTATTCAGCGTCCTAACGGTTTTCACTACAAAGTTACACTGCACAATGAATAATAATTTTAAGCGTGATCTACAGCTAACTGAATGTGAACAAAGAATGGTCCGTATTGGGAATAACGATCTAAACAATCGTCGGCTAATTCAATATGCAATAGCGTATTGCAACACACGCGATGAATGGCATGCCGCAACTGAACGCTTCTATTCATTTACGGTAAATTTGCAAATCGATCGCTCTCCATAATTAGACCTTTAGACATGAACCTGCCCTGAATTTTTCTCTCGGTAAGAAAGCCATTTTTCACCATGTGGTTGTACCGCCCTGCCTACTGACGATCCAGGGGTTATCACTTACAAAACTAAATCCACTTCTATCCAATCATTGTTGCAGACAATTTATTTTACTCAGCGAGTTACTTGTATGTTAGCTAAATTGTACTTTTCATATTAGTAACACCAAGAGCCAACACCAGAAAATTACAGTTTTTACTACATATTTGTGCGAAGGTCATTCCAGAACAAGCACTCATTAAGAGAAGAATCGGACTCTTTCAAACTTTCCTGCAAAATTTTGGGACACGATGGAAGCATTTCATTTCGTATATCATCAAGCATCATGTAGTATTTGGCCAACCTCTGAGCATACTTCTTGACATTCTCGTTCTGTGTAAAGCGTGCAGGCCCTTTGTAAACCACGTCATGTCCCCAGTCTGCCCAGAGCGTCATGTATGGTGTTCCCATTTGAACCTCTCCTGCTGTATCAACCTCTGGGAGTGCTACCTTTGAAAGTGACAACATATTAATTATAAAACAAATTCAGACATTTCCAGGCCGCTTTGCGGCTTGGGAGTTCAATTGAGCAGCCTGAGATTCAGTTTATGAAAAAGATTTACGCTAAGGGAGCTGGCCCAAATTGTTGCAAAGTTGGACAGCGCTATCCACCGTATAAATCACTATTCAGTGGATAAGTTATCCAAATTTTGAATAACTCATGGTGTGCAGGCTTTTAGTGACGAAGGGGGCAAGATTTCCGCTCAAGCCCACACATTGATTTGCATACACCTATGGTATTGTTACTAGGTATAGTGCCACCTCTTACCAGTCACCATTTCTCCTCGGTCAGAGAGACAAGCGAGAAGAAAAAATATATATTAATAAGAATTGCAAGAAGATCCTTATTTTCTAAGTAAAGGATACATCAAGGCGGCATCCTGGTGATGATGTTAATTTGGGAAGGAAATAATTATGGCAGGAAAGGTGCACACATAATTCAGTTAGTCCGCTGATGGGATAAGATGCATCTTGTTGTGGTGGTGGACTAGATCTGGTATTTGGCAACTAATCATTCACTTTTTTTATTTTAATCTTTAACAACCCCAAATCCAATATTTTCCAATTTTTAAAAGTTTCAACATCGCCCCTACTTTGTATACATATTGGACCAAGGACTCCGACTTGATGGAGTCATTTTTGATTGAATGAAATCTTGGCAAGACAATTAAGAAAAAGGGCAGGAATAAACTGAAAACAAGCTTTTAACCAGGCTGTCACCTTAAAATACAAAGCAAAACACCTTGAAATGAAGACGACGATAGCCGGAACTTTTCCAGGGCCAGTAAATTTTTTCGCGTTGATCGACGCTGCCAATCGCTGGCCCACAAACACCATAGCATCGGATCTCGTTCACAGTGTCGTTGAACGCTTCAACATATGCATTCTTGAACTTTACAATATCATCAATGGTTTGAAAAGTAACTCGGGCGCCTACAATGTCCGTTATTTTGCGATAGTCCGTTATTCCGTCTTTTTCCATCTTCGCCGACAGTGATGACAAACTCTTGATCCTTCCTGTCACAACTCCAATAATACCGTTGTCTTTCAAAACGCTTCCAAGGCGTGCTTGCAAGGTTTTCAGAACTTCAGGTAAAGCTTTGTAGAACTTGTAAAATTCAGCATCAAATTCAACTTTCTCTCCTTTTTTACCGATGGCCCTGATACCAATCGGGAAGGCAGACCGTTTTTTGCTGAGCGAGTAAATTTTATTGAGCATATCATGGCCGTATTCGAGTTCTGCGATGTTCCATTCATACCCCATGGGTCTGAACTCGGTAGAGTGTCCACCATTATCGTCATCTGTATCTTCATATCCGGGATTGGCAGCATTAAACGCGAAAAGATTTGCACAGAGAAACAGAAGACAGAGAACCATTTTATCCATCTTTCTCATGCAGTCTGAACTTGACTGGTACTTTTTTGTAGCTGTAACGAGAGGGAAAATTAAATCAAAAGTGACCTACATTCTTCTGCCAGTAGATAAAGCCAGCTATATATTCTGTCGCCTCTTTTCATTGGAAGATGAATAACGATGAATTATAAGTATACTTATTGTACCTACTTAGTGCGCAGGCGTACGTAACTCTATTATGTAGGATGCGTGACTAGTCAATCAGGAAATCAGTACAGCTATGTTCAGTAAGACGCACAAAATCCACACATTTTAAAATTTGGGCCTCTCACGTTCCCAATAAGGCAATTTTTTCCCACAAAATTTTGTATAAAAATTGTTTTCAATTTTCTCTTGGGAGTAACAATCGTCCCTTGAGTATTGGAAAAGGAAACTAAGGGCCCGTCTACATGGAGGGGGGGGGACCCCAGGTAGGTGAGATAACCCGCTTAGGTGGGGTAACCCGCCTGTCCAAATAATCTCTTATTTTAATGCGATCACGTTTACATTTTAGGTGGGGTAACTTGACACATGTTACCTCACCTACCTGGGATCCCCCATCTTCATGTAAGGGCCTGTTTACATGGAAGCGCGGGACCCCAGGTAGGTGAGGTAACCCGCTTAGTTGGGGTAAAACAATAACCCTCCTTTACATGCAATCTTACAGCCCGCCATCCCGGGGTGCACTTCCTCAATATTATTGAATGGTCGCTAAGCACGTAAACAAGAAATATGCCGGCAAACCACGTGTTTTGGCGAAAATGCTCTTGAACACTCCCTTGCTCTTCTTGCTGCAAACCTTCAGTGCTGTGGCTTTCTATTTTTTCCTTTAATAATGATGCAAAACCACCGCCAAAGTGAATTTTACGCGAATTTGATGTATCACGAATCAGACCCCGGCTAGGCGGGTTACCACACCTTGAACGTTTACATGGCAAAATTTGACCCCGGCTGAGAGGGTAACCCGGTCTAGTAGACCGGGTTACCCGCCTTGGTTGGAAACAACATTGCAGGGAACAGTACCCTTTGCATCAAGTAATTTTGTGGCTTGGAGTCCCTTACTATAAATGACTTTATAAGAAGTATAGTTTAAGCTACTCAGTTTAGGGTTCGTTCCCACCCTTCCCCCCCTCCCCCCTTCCCCACCCCCCTAAAATCTCTTCTAAAGACTGCAATAAAATGTTTTGCTTAAAAAATGTAGTGGACGTTTTTATGGCGGGACTATTATGAGTCTTTCTTGATTCACTTTCCTTTTTTCGTTTTCTTTTTTTCACTTGGATGAAATAATACTTCTCGTCTTTCCTCTTTCTGATGTAGTTTGTTTATATTTTAAACAGATTTCGCGATGACCAGATTGTTACTTTGGTTGCTCTGATTTTATTTTGCTGCGAAAAAAGTTGATTTTTGAAGTTGGCTACTTTTAAGGATGCTCGATACAGTTTTTCAGGGTCAATACCTCCCCTAAGTTTGAGCATAAACTACGTCGCCATAAACAAAGATTTGGGAAAATTGCCACCATAGTTGCATGCATTTTATAAAGATGAAAATTTGTTATGATATGGGTTGTAGTGACATAGGAGTTGTCATAGCAACGAAATGACACCATTACCTATTTTACTTGCAGCAGTATTTCTCGTCACTGGCAACTTTTATTCCAAAATCGTTCAGGGGAGCTTTTTCTCCTCCAATAGCCGCCTCGATGTTCGTGAAGTTTAAGCGAAATCTGTAAGAGCGTTATCAAGATATTTTGGGAAGAAGTTTTTATGGCTAGAAATACGGTAAAAAATGGACAATCCTGATGTTCGATTGTTGTCTGTAGAAAACGAAGCTCTTGACATGCAGTTTCAGTCTTTTTGAAAACATGTGAAAGATCATGGAGATAGCTCCAGCCGATTGCTGGAAAAAAAGTTATGATTAGTACGTATCGAGGCACTCTTGTTAGCGGTTCTGTAAACATTTCGGTGTACTTTAACAAATTAGCAAATAATTTTTTAACGGTTCGATAGATTTTTCTAAAAAAATTAAGAATCGAGATTAACCGTCCTTTTCTATGACCTCTTAGTTTCAAGATTATTGATGTATTGTAAGGCAGTAAAATAAAGGCTACAATTCGATAATTTGTTATCTGAAGTTTCGTCTTTTCAAGTGAAAGCCTCTCAATATTTAAGGATATTGTCTCCAAGTTTCATTTTCACGTCGTGAACAGCAGTAACTAACAATGCATTTGAAATATGCTAGCTGTCGTTGTGCACGAAAATATGAAACTTGGAGACAATAGTCCTGAATAATGAGAGGCTCTCGCTTGTAAACACATAATTTCGTTATCTCGATAACGCTCTTACGGATTTCGCTTAAAATTCACGAACATCGAGGCGGCCATTGGAGGAGAAAAAGTTCCCCTGAACGATTTTGAAAGAACAGTTGCCAGTGACGAGAAATACTGCCGCAAGTAAAATAATGGTGTCATTTCGTTGCTATGACAAATCCGATGTCATTGCAACCCATATCATAACAAATTTTCATTTTTATATAATATAACCAGGGGCACCCAACGTCAATTTTCGGAAAATATCTGTTCGGAAAACGATTGGAGATCTAGAATTTTCGGAACATTTATTGTAAAATTCCTCGCTTGCCTGCCTCTCCTAGGATTTTCGAACATCTAAAAAACGGTATAATTGCCCATTTTTAACAGATTTTTACCCTAAAAAGGTGACCTAGAATTTTCGGGAGCCTTTTTTCTGGCTGAAATTTTCGAAAAGGCAAGTTTTGATCCCTATAATTTTCGGATCACTAGACTTTCAGCTAAGGATTCCGAACAGATGAAAAATTTTTAAGGGATAAAAATATGCCTATATCTACCGTTTAAATACTGAAATACGTTCAACAATGCTATGTTTAAGTGGTTTTGAACTATATTCTCCTTGAGTGCCCCTGCATGATACAAGGTTGGTGGCAATTTTTCCATATCTTTGTTTATGGCGACATAGTTTATGCTCAAACTTTGGAGGTATTGACCCTGGAAAATTAGTTGTATCGAACCACTTTTTTATACCAACAAAAAAGGCTCACGTGTGACTAGAGTGTTAATGGTCCAATCAATCATGCATAACCATTATTTTTAAGTCATTTTAGAAGCAAGCAGCAAGGGTCTTAAAAAAACAGGAAAACAGTGAAATTAAAAGCGAATACCAGCACAATAAAAAGAAATGATTAAAGAAATGATGATATGAGCCCCCGGTGTAAAAACCTCAAACCATTTAAGGTGACTCGACCCAGTTTTTTGGGGGGGGTACCATCCTACTTTGAAGCTCTCTGGTATCCCCACCTTTACTTTTATCGTAAGTCTAACACATAGAATGGATAACATATAGATCAATCTACAATATCACATAAAATTTTTGGCGATCGGAGTAAATGTCACGTGGTTATAATGCCACGCCCCTTTGAGGTCTGAGTCGAAAATCTGCTGTTGCCGGCATTTTTTTCGTGAAAATCTCTCGGCTATACATAGTGCGCATTAGTGCCTTGCGCTGAACAGAGTTTCACCAAAATCGCAAAGACCCAATTCGAGAAATTCAGCGGTTCCAAATTTAGGTCATAATTTATGCGAAAATGATAAGCAAACTTTACACGGATTATATCTAATAAACCAAGAGATTCATCCCTTTATTTTGGGCATCTTTATAACAGATGGGTCCTTGCAAGTCAGCAAAACAATTTAGGGCCTTGTAAATGCGCGCGATTTCGAGCAAAGGAAACATATAGAAATTATAGTTTTCGCCATTTGTTGACGTTTGTCAGCGTTGAAGAGTCAATCTCACGAAAAAAACATTTTCTTAATAAATTCGTAGTTTTTTTTCCTTCAAATTTTTTCAGGGCTACAATTGATTAACGAACTACCCAGACTCTGAATTTCATGGTCATTGAAAAACTGTGACATTACTTTCTATAAGCCCAAACTTGAGATATTCCCGTCACGAGTTGGTTTAATTACTGGCTTGCATTAAACTTATGAAAAAATGATATTTTTGTAATAGTAAGTAGACTTAGTGTGTAGCACTTCTTGATTTTTTGGCAAAGACACAAGAAGCACGAGAATTGATTAAAAATTGTTAGTTAAACCTCTATGTATCACGCGATGGCCTGTCTCACTGTACCAAAATTATAATATCTCGGTGAGCATTCGGAAGTCAGCCAAGCGTTGTCATTGCACGCGTGCTGAACAAGAATGCTGTATAATGACAGACTAGAAACAATAGACAACTCCCAAAGCACAAACTCAGCCAAAACGCTAAAAATCTTCAATGTTTACTCAAGTTTGGGCTTGAAAGTAGAAATCAATTGTGGCCCTGAAAAATTTGAAGGAAAAAAAAAGTTAAGAAAATGTCACAGTTTTTCAATGACCATGAAATTCAGAGTCTGGGTAGTTCGTTAATCAATTGATTTAGCCCTAAAAAAAAAATTTGAAGGAAAAAACTACGAATTTATTAAGAAAATCCCTATTTTTTCGTGAGATTGACTCTTAAACGTTTGACAAACGTCAACAAATGGCGAAAAACTATAATTTCTATATGTTTCCTTTGCTCGAAATCGCGCGCTTTTACAAGGCCCTAAATTGTTTTGCTGACTTGCAAGGACCCATCTGTTATAAAGATGCCCAAAATAAAGGGATGAATCTCTTGGTTTATTAGATATAATCCGTGTAAAGTTTGCTTATCATTTTCGCATAAATTATGACCTAAATTTGGAACCGCTGAATTTCTCGAATTGGGTCTTTGCGATTTTGGTGAAACTCTGTTCAGCGCAAGGCACTAATGCGCACTATGTATAGCCGAGAGATTTTCACGAAAAAAATGCCGGCAACAGCAGATTTTCGACTCAGACCTCAAAGGGGCGTGGCATTATAACCACGTGACATTTACTCCGATCGCCAAAAATTTTATGTGATATTGTAGATTGATCTATATGTTATCCATTCTATGTGTTAGACTTACGATAAAAGTAAAGGTGGGGATACCAAAGAGCTTCAAAGTAGGATG